TATATAAGAAAATACTCGGGTATCCGTATTCTAACATAAATTAAAAGTATTATTATCACAAATCACAAATCACACTTTATGCATTCCACATTTCGTATCAAACATCACACAATACACGTCACGCATGATACATGACATATTACAAATCACACATCACACTAATATCGCATCAACATATTTATAGCTATCACTTTCCTGTTCATACGAACCCAAATTACTCCAACATTAAACGTTGTAGAGGCTAATCGGCCTAAAAATAATCACAAGCAGTGTTGGATGTGCAGCGCTGTAGCAGTCGCCTGCCCGCGGAAACTCGGTTATATCGCCGGTGATTTTAGGGCCGGAGAATGCACTCGAGGCGGCAGAAGATTTGTCGTGATCGTGCAAGTTGTTCCACTCAGGCGCGAAATAGGCAAACGGATTTAGCACCATCAGCTGAGCAGGCGCAAAAAGATAGATGCAGCCGGCGAGTTAGGGGAAGAGGGTTTTTACTATACGCACAAGGCACAGGGTCGCGGATGTCAGATGTCTGGTGACGTGAGCCGGTGTGACAACAGTGAGTGGGGAAGACGGCGAAAGAGGGCATTGGAGGGTCATATGAAATGTGGTAGAGCAAGCACACGCATCGAACGTCAGCACCCAAAACTGAAAGTCCAGCAGAACTTTGGTCGGTTCTGAAGAGAAACTGATTGTCTATCGCTTCGGCATTAACTTTAACTACCTAAAGGAAGCATTAAGAGGCATGGATTAGCCTTGTGATTTCTGGAATGCCTCATTAATATATTAAAATTAGCTCAAAAGAAGTGGGTGAACTTGTATCCAGTTCTCATACTCAGATCTATGCTCGCCCAAGGGCTCTCCAGAAGTGTATCTCGAACTAACTATGCTTTTAATGACAATAATAACGAATGCTCAGAACCAAAAGATCAGAATTAAAATAAAATATTTCTAGGACTTTTATGACTAAGAACGAAGCAATCCCCTTCGATTTCAGATTACGAATATTTACATATCCGGATTCATCGTAATTTTATAGGGAGTAGAAAACCAAAGAACTAATTTTGGTAAGTTAAATAGTTAGAGGAAACAAGAAATATTATAATAATTAGGTAATAAAAAATAACTAGTTTTACGGCCTGAATTCACTTTCATTCATAGGTCGGCTATCAGCTATTTGAATATATAAGCCAAAATGAAGCAAATTTTAAAATAATTATTTGTAATTCTGTATATAAATTAGCAGGTAGTATAAATATGACACATTTAAAATTTAATACTAAGTTGTTAATAAAGCTTAGTAATTTCATTAGAATATGCCTTTCCATTTGCAACACATCTCCTCGACTCGGCTTGATTGCTAATCGAGTATTCTCACTAAATTTCAAATCCAGATATAAAAAATTCAATTGTATTTGGACTTATATCAAAATAAAAAATTAGCATATCTCTCTTAACTGTAGTGGTAAAAACCAATTTCAGAATTTAAGTATTA